ACACGACGGGTAAATCGATGAGGAGCGTTTTTTTTTTCGGAAAATGAGATTTCGGCGGGAACTCGGCGACGACGCGAAAAATTGCTGCGGCGGTAGAGAGAACGGATTGTCCTCCTTAATCGGATTGCCGAACGGCGAAATATGGCGCACGAGCGCGCGCGTTTGCGATTTCATTGCCTGCCCGTCGACATTTTCATATTTTCGAAAATTGCAGGGCTCTCATTCGATTTCACTGTCGGACGAGATTAGCGCCCAGTCGACGCTTTTATCGCATGACGGCAAGATTTGTCGGAAACCGTTCGGAATACCGATTCACATTTACTTTCACGTGGTCTAACACTGCAAACTTGTTCTTATTAATTAATGCTTAATATTTTAATTGATGACCAGACAGCGTGTACTTAACAGTTCAAATTGTTGTTTAGTTTCTAAAATTTGAGAAGTAAAGTTGAAGTTCTTTGATTATAATTGGTTCCTCTTATTTTCCCTCAGTTTGCATGTGAAAAAATATTTATTTAATTTACTAAAATATTGGAAGTTTATTTTAATACAAAATATTAAAATAATTTAAAAAATTTAATTATCTCAGTACATATCTACCCAATGGAATTAGTAATAAGCTATAGTTTTGAGATTCAATATAATACTTAATTGTAAAAAACCTATACACATATATCATATTATATATACATACATATAGATATATATACATATATATATATATATATACATCTGTTTATCAGATTACAACAGATACAAAAGTTTCGAAGTTTTTCGTTGGGAAACATTTTATCAGAATGGCAGAACAGCGTGTGCGTGCAAAATATGTTTACGTTTTCGAGAATGATTGCGCGTTTGTAATAACAGCCGTGGGTGCGCTTTTTTATTGCTCAACGGTATCAGTCAACAGGAAATACGTTTCGAATGTAAAAAAAAAATAGAGTAGAGAAACGAAACGCGAAATTCGTATGCCGAAGTTATCCCCGTATATATTGACTTTGCTTAGCGAATATAGATACATAGCGAATGTATATACCTTGAATCAAAGCGGTACTGGGGAATCGATAATTAGTTCTATTGACGTTAGTCGTCCAGGTGTATCTATGTATAGATGTACCACATTCCGTACATATGTATATTCATCTCGGTAAACCTGTCACAAGGCGAGCGTCGAACGCGCGTCCTTTGATCCTATATATTAGTTGCGTACCGATTTGATCGTCATTAAAATCACTCAATCACGTTGCTACAACTGCAACTGCAACCGCCTGTCGATTATTTCATTTTCGACCAATCGACGAACGATCAGCTCACTCGTGCACTTGAGTTTATTCTCTTTCATCTTAAATTAAATGATGAAGGACGGAGAAATCTCGAGCTCGCTCCTCTCCATCCCATCGTGTCGGGAATAATTTATCGCACTCGAGGTTTTTCGCCAGATAACATATGAATATCAAGTGTGTCAAAGCATTGACATAGCGGCTTTGTATGCCTGAGATATTAAAAGCCGACGACAAAATTTTGCATACTATGAATTTTTTAAGTCTCGTCCTTTGCATGGAAAATATAAAGAGTAAATCCAGCAAACTCGAAGTTTCGCGCGAATATTTAAGGTTGAATATTAACGTCGCACATTAACATCTTTTTACCGCCGGAATTAAAATTAGTGAGAAACGGTGCATAGTTGCGCCCCTCGCTAAATATGCAAATTGCTGCACGCGCGCATAAAGAGTTCCGCTCGAACTACTATTAACGAATATTTGTTCGTATTAATGCACATTCATATATCATTCATAGCGCTTTTAATTTTCTAATAATTCGATCTTTTATATTTAGCTTCTATGTAAAATATAAAGTCACGTTACGATGAATATTAAAAACTTTATTTCATGGTTTTTCCATACTTTTAAACTGCTTACACTCTTTAAAATAACAACATACTTGTAAATTATTAATGCATCAATACATTTAATATTACCATTAATTAATTGTTAATTATATTATTATCAACTTCGACTTATATGTAGAAAAATGTAGAAAATTATTTTAATTCATTTGCAATTTGCATTTCGCACGCGAACATTTGCGTGTTTAAATTGGATTCATTGTACATACGCGGATGCAGCTTTAGGCACGGTTTCGTGCAAGGACGTATTGCCGTCGCTGATTTTCCGTAATTATTGCCGTCGCCGCGAGGACGGCCGCAGCGAGGATGCGTCGCGACGCCCCTTCCGCACCGTTGTATTAGCACCGGGAATGCAAATAATTGTTCGCCGCGGCGTGCGCGTATGTGTACGTGCGTGTGTACAGGGTGGCGAAACCGACCCTAGAATGCAAATAGAGCCGACTTCACATGGGACTCCCGCCGCGAACGAGCTGGCTGGTTTGTTCGCTGATGTGGATACATGCGCCTTTGTATGCGCACACAACACACCCGGGTGGCGGATTATCCTATCTGTCGACTCACACAAGGCAACCCTTACGGCTCAAAATTTTGTTAGAAAAGACAAATGTCTTTGAAGCATAATATAAAAAAGAAACACACAATTGAACGATTTCGAGCAATGATTAAATGTTATCTAGTAAAATATGCTGTAATTAACGGCTGATAGTTTGACTTACAAATCTTTAGTTAATTAAAGAAAAATTTTCAAACGAAGATATCTTTCTTTATACACTGAAAAAAATACTAAATTTGAAAATATTTATTTGAATATTTCTAAGTAAATATTTACTAAATATAAACATATATTTATTTGATATAAAAATCTTTAATTTGTGATTTAACTATTATTTTTTATCGAGTAAATATTTATTCATTGTAAGTAAATGTTTATTTAGTACTGTTCAAAGAAATATGTATTGAGATTTAATAATTTCTTTTTTTTTTAGCATTTAACTATTTTTTCTTAAAAACTTTATTATAATAGTTAAGATATAAGTGCACACAATATGTTGTGTAATAGTTATATACAAAAGAAAAAGGAAATTTATTTGGCTGTCTCTGACTATCTGGGGCGCGTTCGAAAACATTACTCGAGTGGCTCCAAGTATCATTTTATTCTTGTTTAACATTCAAGATAAAAAATGAATAACAAGAATAAAATGATACTCAGAGGCATTCGGGTAGTATTTTCGAACGCGCCCCAATTAGTCAGAATTCCTTTTTCTTTTATATATAGCTATTACACAACATATGTTACAATTATATTTACAACCCTATAAGTGATTGTTAACTCCAAAGGAATCCGTAAACGCGTTATAATCGTCAGGCCTAACCGGATAATGTGTTATATGTAATGCACTTTGTATATATACGTCACACAGAACACGAGAGAGGATTTGTTCGAGCTCTGCATGTCTCGCGCTTCTCATGTTTCAAGTTTCGCGAGGGAGGAAAAGAAACGTTTGGTAAAGGGCAATAAAATATCGCATCTCTGTGTCGTAGGACGCGATTAATCGCCGGTCCGGCAAGAATTAATCGTCGACGGTGCGATAATTTATCGTAGCCCGTCTCGCCGCGATATTTTAACCGCGGATGTTTTTCCTGGTTTCGCGCTTCGCTAACCTACCGCTTTTCCACCGGAAAAAGGAAGCGCGTTCCGACTCGGCGAAATCACTCCCTCGATTCTGTGTCCACCGAGATTCATACTACACAGGTCACTTTCCTGTATATCTTTCCTAGGCAATTCGCATCAAGAGTCTCATTCTCTTGATCTCGGCAAAATAACAACATAATTTTTTTAGTTACAAATACTAACTACTGCTGCTTTTATTTATTGTGTACAAGAGTTAGTATACTAAGTCTTTTTTTAGATTTAATGTTTTCTTCGAACCTTTGAATTATTCAAAAATGTATTATTTTATTACAATATGTATATTATTCTCAACAATAATTTTTGTAATATTTTAGTACACAAAATTTTCACGTCAATATTATACATTTTCTACATATTTATAATTATATATATTATGGTGCAGTTTGACACATAAAGTGTTTTAAGACTTAAATGCTTTTAGTAGATTAGAATTAATTTTTTTTATTACGTTTTAGAAGCTGCATTTTTTTGTAACACATTTAATTTTATAAGTTTTGCCTTAACGATGTGTTATTTTTGTATTATAAATCAATGCCAGCGCGCGTATAAAATCTAAAGAAGCATTTTATTCTAATTGTGATAAAAAATAATAATTTCACGTCTGACGAGAGAGTATATTGCATAGAAAAGACAACATGCTCCACAGAAAATTCAGATTTTAATAACACTTTACACTATGTAGAATAGTCAGAAGGATGAGCAATTTTGCAATTTCCTGTTAGTGCAAAACAGAATTTATGTTGTCGTGCTGCGCACTCTGACGCACGAGGCTAAGAATCTGCAAGTAAAATTATGTGACCTATTTCCTCAAGCAGTGAATTAGTCGTTATAAAATGAGCTTTTAATTCTTAACCTTAGGGCACTTTTGTTTCTCTTGCATCTTATTTCACTCCTGAAAGAGGAATGTTAAATATTACATTTAAACGACCTAGAAGATAATCAAATCAACTAATGTATAATTAAAAAAATTTTAACTATGATCTGTTTAAAAATAATAAATACTGATTAAATATTTTATAAAAATAAATCGAAATAATTTAAGTTAAAATAATTTAAGTTAATTTTCTTCTCGTACATATGTATATCTATTTAATACATTTTTTATCACAATTTTGTGACATTTATCAAATTGAAAATATTGAAATTACATTTAATTATTATTTCATTTACCATCGCATTTAATTAAACTGTACTGTATATGACACAGATATCAATTTGTAAATGATAATTTACATACCAAACATTTATAAATGACTGTACTACAATCAATCGATAAAATTATGGCTGCTATTCATAATATTTAAGATTAATCATATAATCGATAGTTGGGCCATTATCAAATATGTACATACTCTTCACGTATAACTTATTGAATCTTGTTTATTTTTGTTCACAGAAACTGCAAACGATCGGCGAAGACTTTTGCGGCCTCGATGTGAATACGCCTTTAGGTGGCGAAGAGCCGATGGGTGCGACTGCAGTTTTGACATTCGAGACTCACTTGACGGCTGTGGCGGCCACTTCGACCGGTGATTATACTGTGGTCTTCGTGGGAACCAATAAAGGACACCTCAAGAAGGTCAGTGCTTGAAGTTAATTAACTCGATAACTTATTTATTGTATTAAATCATAATTGATTTATGCGATTTAATACAAAGAATATTTTATATTTCATATAGAATATTCAAATCTTTATTGAAATTTCTAAATAAAATAATTTTTAAAATAAAATTATTAAATAATGAGGTTATTAATGGAATCTACATGATTAGATCAAATTATCAACATACTAGTGGTTACGCTATTACTCGACAAATTATCTAAAACCAATAGATTTTATGAAAATACGATATTAGGGAATAGCATATTAGGATAGTCGAACTACATGGATAAGTGATATTACAACGAGGTAATATTCAACTTAGCGCACAAGTTGTTGAAAATTATCTAATAAAAGTTCTCCAATCTCTGCTGCCTCATAGTTATGTGATAATATTATAGATAATTTCTACACAAAATAACCGAGACGATTAGCATTATAAAGTCATCGATTAGCGAAACATAGCTCGACGCTTAACGCTACTTGCTTCCCCAATCTCTTCAACGCTGAAGGTAAGGAGTTCAGCAACCCTGAACTTAACGGGGCGAAGTAGGATTAAATGGCAAAGTTCAGTAGTTGCATACGTGCACATGCACATCATCCCACTGAAGCATACGCCCGCGTACGTACTAAAGTCTTCCTCGATCATCGTAGGGCATGCTCGTTAAATTAATCGCGATCACCATACGATTACCACGCTCGTGAATCAAAACACGATACAACAACGTTACAACGGGCCATTTAATTGGTTTCACGATAAGCGATAGAGTCAACGGCCTAGCCAAAAAACCTGTACGGCGTGTACTCGTAGAATTGGGGATCGTGGATAGTGCATTATCGTGCATCGCTATTAAAGCGATTCCTATGAAATTTTCACAGAAGAACAGCTGCATCGCTAGTTGGATCACCACAAACGGGAATCCTCCTGGCACGGACTGAATTTCTACGCTTTTTTTTCTTTCTAATCTAGATATTGATTTACTGAAAGATTTATAACTCCTCAGTCTGTATGCCCTAGACATTGCTTTCAAATCTTTTCTCTCTCACATATAGATTTCTATACAAAAGCCATCAATAAGGTTTCTCACTAATTTATTTTTCAAAACTTTGTTAACGTTAGTCACCCGCGGGTAGAAAGGAAATGCGTTCTCGTTCGCGATTGCGAGCGGCAGTCACCGTCCTCTTGATGGAGAAAGTAACGATAAATATAGCTGGTCGTGCTATTGTAGATAATAATATTTATAGAGTAATAACGTATATACATAATATCGGTAGGAGAGAGAGAGGAGAGGAGGAAGCGAAGCACACGCGTCTATACATATATGCATGCTTCTACTTCCACTGCTACATCTATGTTACGATAGGCACGATATTACGTTTTTACACCATAACGTCATATCTTGTTATAAATTTATTATTTACGGCACTGTAAACGCGAAATCTCTATCTGCGACTCGTGCTGTCCCTCTGAGATTTATTGGTCTCGTAAACGACGACGTGTAACCCTACTTTGGACATTTAATATTCCGAACGGCACATCCAGAGTCGGGCGGCTTGTGATTCGTCTTTGTGAAGCTCGCGACGTTAATACGCCTTTTGCCGTTTCAACGGAAATGGATTATCTTGGTGAGACCTCGCCTTGAGCGAGCCTTGCTAATGCTCTTCTCGAACGCTCGATCAGCTTGTTCGATAGGTCAAGTCGATTTACGTGAACGTGCGCTTACTATCGTAAGGAGAAGATTTATTTAGATCCAGAAAACTGATCCAAGAATACACAAGGTGAAAACAAATGCATATGCTAGATACATATTGATAATACAGTAAGTAATATCATGATGTAAAAATATATTACAAGGTATTTCATTGTGCATATTGATAATCAAATGTATGTAATTTTGGGATAAATTTTTTATTAATAATAAATAAATTTTTTTACTAGCGGTTTTATATGGACTTATAACATTTTGAACTAATTTCTAATTATCATCGACTGCCCATTTACAGGGAAATATTTGGCATTCTTACATTATGAGTGATATAATAAAACAAAATTATAGTATATATTTATTTTTTAAATTAAAATAAAATAATATAGCAATATTTTTTAGAATTAATTAAGTTTTAAATAAAAATTACAATAATATATTAAAAATATAATATTAAATTGATAATGATATAATAACACAATGATAATATTATAAGTATTTATAATTATATGTACCATATTGGGTTTTGATAATTCTTGAGGTAATATATATATATATATGTATATATATTTATTACTTTTGTTTCATGTATTATAAATGTTTATGTCTATTATTTTTTTTAGATTGTAATGAGATAAAAGATTTTTATTTCACAATTGATTAGAAATTTTTTCTCTATGATCGTCTTTTACTTTTCTGTTTGCATATTGATTGTTCCTGAGATAGCGCGAAAAATATTTTTACAAAGTTCAAACAGTAAGATTTTTGCGTAAATTAAATATTTTATTTCCACTGAAAACAGTTTTCATGTTTCGACGACATAATAAAGTAATAATATTACTAGCAAGCACAACATCTCTATTTTATTTCCTTGCAAAACTATTTTATTAGTTTCATGAGATCATCACGTCTCGAACTGTTTCTGTGATCATGTAGGAATACTTATTGTTACTTTTAACAGGCTATCAATATCTTTATGTAAGTATTCAGTGCCGAATACCATAACTACTGACATTTTATGATATTCTAAAAAAAGTAATATTATATAATATATTATAACATATATCGAAAAAATAACGTAGAAAAAAATAAAAGTTTTTTTATGTGAAAGATTAATAAAATAAATGGAAATAAATATTAATAAAATTGTACATAATATTTGAAAAATTAACTCGTACACGTTCAAAGTATACTATAGCTTTAACTTTTTATAATATCAAATTAAAATATTAATGAATATTTGATATTAAAATACCAAAAATATATTTATATTAAAATAAATATCATAAATTGAAGATGCGAATAGTTTTACGATCTTACGATATGTCAAACGCGAAGTCTTCGTTGCATCTAGGTAATCGAAGTGGTAAGCGACGAAAAAAGGGTTGGCAATAAAATATCTGCTATATACGAATCAACGATGCGAGGATAAGAAAAAGAGGACGAGGTCATCGCCGACGCATTTCGCATACTGCATAATTTATCGGTCGATCGATTTTGATCGTACTTTTGGTTCTTTTTGTTCTTTTATTTCATATGTTCGACCCCTATAGTGCGAAGGCTCATTCTTATATGTGACACGTGGCGATATATGACGCACGTGCTTGTTATAGCTATGTTTAATATTAACTGATGCAATTAAATCGGTAATTAACCGAGACAATAGCTTGATTTTCGCGGCGTAGAGGAAAAGACGTCAAGACTTAATTCGTCTAAATATATTGGACACCATAATTTTGCAAGTTTTATTTATCTTTATAATTAGACCTATTTAATTAATTAAATTCCCATTTTCTAGTGTTTCAAAAACGTACATAACTTCTGAGATACTATATGTAATGTTAATTGATAAACAATAATTAGTAATTGATAAGTCGTGTAATATATATTATAACAGAGAATATCTCTCATTACTAAAATGATGATAAAATAAATATCAATATACTACTGAAACAATAAATTATTTCAATAACAATATTGATTTAGCATGTACACTGAAAAAAATGCATGTAATTTTACATGGAAATTACATGTATATGACTGGAAAATTATCTAAATTACATAAATATGCTTGGAAATTTACTGGAAATTGTAAATTTCCAATCATATTTAGGCAATTTTCCAGTCATGAACATGTAATTTTCATGTAAAATTACATGCACTTTTTTCAGTGTAGCTTTATAACTAATTTTCTAATAAAAAGAAGTTTATATTAGCCAAAAGTTAACAAAAAATATCTATACATTTACATTTAAATTATCGCATTCAACTAAAATCAATAATCCATTTGAGAATTCAAAATTTAATTATACTCTTGTAATTTAATTATCAAGAAATTCGAAAATAATATAAATAAAAGTAATATAAATAAAAATGAATTATTTGCACATTATATTTACTGTCACGAATATATTAAGATTATTTTAAGATAATAAATTAATGTACGAACTGTTTATGTAATATATGTTAAACTAAGAAATATGTTGTTTCTCATATAGATTACACAAACCAATGTCAGTTTCACGGATAAACTTTTTCACACGGGTGCATTGGCTTGCGCAAGCTAATTACGTTGAATCGGCCGGTCGGTGATTAATAATCGTATCGCATTGTTTATCATTCCTATAATCATCCCCACGACACAACGGCAACGAGATATTTCGTCCACAATTCCGCCGGCACGACGCGAGAAGACGCCGCGCACCGTGAAGCGGCGGGCGTTGATTCATGACTCGTCTCGGTCCCGGAAGGTATTAATTAATGATCGTGTCCACTTATACGTATATATACATATACATATATTGGTAAAACGTGCGGTCGAATACGGACTTCTCAGGTCGTGCCGTGAGGTCATCCTCGAGATATTTACACGTGCACTAGCAGTTACTGTGTGAATGCGCCGGTAAATAACCTTCTGATGCACTTTGATATTGGAATAAATCGGCGTATAAATTTCTTGTAGCAACTTTTTAATAATTGACTGATTGACGTATTATATAAAGGAATTACCATTAAATTAATAAATGAAAATCTATTTTTTGGCTAGCATTTAAAATAAATGTTCATTTAAGAAAAGTTAAATAGCTTTAGTACAACACTTTTAATTTTAATATTTTGACAATTATTTTCATAATATATTGTATTAAGACAAAATATAGAACTAAAGAATAATTAGATCTTTGAACTAAATTGGCTGCACTTTATTTTTTAATTATATTTATATATTTCTAAAAATGTTTATATTTTAACATTTTTTTATTTAGATATTGTAAA